TTGATTCACGAACTAGACATAATACATAACATACAGATTTAACAGACGTAACTGTTCTTCGTTATCAATATATTCATCGGTCCCCTATAGTTTTCATTCACTTACATTGAATATGTTCCGATCTTCTGTAGTTTCATTTCACTGTTCTTGTTTTACTTTTGCTACACATAATATACACACTACTTGACAACGCCCAGTGATGGCAGAACCGATCATAAATTAAATGAAAGGGAAACTTGCACACTAAGCATACCACATTTTTACACATAAATTGCACAAAAAGAGTTATTCACTAAAGTTAAAATGCCCTGATGAAATGTTTACACTGAAACTCGTTTTCTGGTCTTGTTTGTAGTTAGGAAAAATATCGTACTGTATTTAAATCTGTCGAGGGACGAGAGGAAATGATATATCGCATAAAGAACCTTGCCATTTGGGCGGTAGTGAACACATGCATCACGGCACGGCCAAGGTTAGGACGTTGACATTTCAGTCAACCGCTGCATGCTATTGTTTCCTGAGAAACGACTGTACGAAGAGAAGTGGAAACGGTGAAATATTTAATGAGGTCAAGGTTACTGCAATTTTAAATATTCAGAATATTTTACATCATGGTCACGTTTGAACAGCCAACGTTACTTGTCGTCAGTTGGCACTGGACTGAAGTGCAGGTCAAAACCGCACAGCTAAAGATAAATGACACAGGAGTGAGTATTCAGACGATCTATTATCGCTAACAAAAAATGATTATCCACAAGCCACAATCCAACGTTCATTGCAAGATGATCAAAATAACCGGTACAGAAAATGATATGGAAGACGGAACTGAAATGTTATATACAGAAACTAACTGCTTCGTTAAACTGAAACCAAAGGAAGTTGAAAATGTCTTTCACTTGGAAAATGAATCGTCGAATTTATTATGCCAAAATAAGTTCGACATCACTATTCATCCGAATAACACAAAGTTTATTTTCAGCCTTGCGGCTAGTGACGTAGGTCATACATAAATATTGCATACAACCAGGGACTATACATGGCTCCTGGTGTAACCGGTGACAGCCACTGACAGAGCAAAGCATGACAGAGCTATTGTGAGCAAAATCATGGCAGTAGCTGAGAAAACTTTGTATAACTTCTATTTTTCCAAGGGTTGGGTCATGAGAGGGCGTTGAAGGGGCCGGAGCCGGGAGACAAACGGTATCAAGAAAGAATCAAGTTGTGTTCGTCGAAAACCGGAGAAAACTTGTGTTAAGCGAACTTGAATTAAGCGGTTCGTTCCCCTCTATGAAACAGTAACTTAACAAGTCCAGGCCCTAGTTGTTCAAAACGTAGATAACGCTATCCGCTGGATAAATCTCTATCCACTGGATAGCGCAATTAGTTTCTCCAATATTTATACGCTGGATAGTGATTTATCTGCCGCTGGATAGCGCTATCCAACGTTTGAACAACCCGGGCCAGGAAATCAGGTGAAATGACTTCGCTTCATTACTGTAAAATCGACCTAGTAGTAAGCAGTCACCTTAATTAAGCGGTGGCGCTGACCTTTTCCGAGGTCCCAGAGAGTTTTTTTTTTGTCAAAAAGCCGGTACACTTTGAAAAGATGAACTTGATTCCAGTGCAGTAGATACACTGTACCGGCATGGCGTTTAATGGTTTTTTACCTCTTTTCTTTCGTCGGGACTGAGTACTAATCGAATTGCAGAAAAAAAAATACTTGAAGTCAATTTGCGGTCGTGTGATAGATATTTGCTCCGTCTATGGCTTCATTTATCTCCTAGGTTTGTCAAATCTGTATTAAACGGTCAACCTATATTGTACTGTATTAAAACCTGTATGTTGGCCAGTTCAAAGATACACCGCTATGATGACTTTACTGTATTTCTGTGATCAAGTGCCTTTCATTTTCTGGAATTTTCACTTGCGGCGCTGCATTTGCACGCTGGGTACATTAAAGTAAGCATCATAGCTCAAGGAATGAAGTTATCAAAGTTCCAAAACTCCTATCCTACTGCAACTGATTCAAAAGTCCTTAACTGTGACAATTAGCCTAGGCGTCTCCAACTTTATGCCTTCCGATTGTCCCGATTTGCTCTCGCGGTTTGACCTGGTATATCAAAGATTTACTTGAGCCTTCCTCCATACAGCAGTTGACGAAAACTAATGCAAAATCAGCTTCGGTCAAAATGATCTTACAGGCGTAAGCACCATAAGTTTCTCAAGGCCTTCCATCCAAAATGTAATAAAAAGGTCTTAATAATATTGAACGCTTCCGTGCTAAAATGATGTATTGCCGGATCAGAACCACAGCTTCTATACAAATCTGATAATTTCCGTTTTGGCTCTCGAATGCGACAAGATTTAAGTCAAGCTTGCTATTGGTCTTTAAAGACATTCCTCGTTGGATCGTGTTGTCGTTACGGGTTACACGGGCGAGGTACGTTGTCTATTGCTCATTTCGACACTTCCTGAGTTAAAGCTTGAAGTTTCGTGTACACTACAATATTATGTATTTTTGTGTTGTCGCTGGATTATTCTCTCTACATCTTGCGCTGGGTAATGAATTTTCGATTTAGTGTACAATGACGTATTGAATAGTCGGCTGCTGTCAAATAAAGCCTGTAATGGCTTTAATGTCATCGATCCCGCAGTTCACAGGGTAAACAAATTGATTGTTCGAAAGGCAATAACGTTATTCACAGACTTCACAGCATGTAACAGGGTAAAACACAATCCAATTGATAGAGCAACTAGCTTTTTCAATACCTCTCATCCACAGAATTAGTCGACTTGCGGTTTATACATTTCAAATAGCTGGATCAGTCAGATCACTCCTCCTCGGGACTAGTCACATGTGCCGTGTTCAGCCGGGTGAAAGACGGGTACCCAGAACAAGAGAAGTTTGAAGCACGAATCGCCATCAGGAACTTTTCCATCGTAGAGAGCACATACTGTTTAAGTTTGATATTCGGTTCAGTCACCTACTCGTATCCTGCTGTATTATTTTGGTTCCTGAGGTTTTCCTTCAGAAGAATATAAACCTCTGTAACCTCTCCAGCCAAATCGTTTACTTCGGAATTTTTACGTGTTGTTCCAACATAGCGGGTGAAGGTCGAAAGGATCTTTTCTCACTTTTCACCCTACATCATATCATGTTTAAAATATGTTTCTCTTTAGCGTGTATTGGCAAGTTGCTCATTCGATCTGTTGTGGGTTTTACCAGGGAAACGGGCGCTCACGTGACCTAAAAATTAAAAATTAAATCCCACGAAAAATACTTCAAATGTCAAGGCCAAGGTGAAAAATACCTACCTTCTGACCGCCGAGCTTTGCAGGTCTACCATGCGACACGGCTAATATATACCTCGTAAGGAAAAATCGAGATTGCGTGAAATGCTGACAATTTTCTCTGCCTCGACAGGTTCTTTCGAAATCATTTAGACGAGACTGGAGACAAGTCTGATCACAGCAACCTCTAATGACGACAATTAAAGCGACGAAAATTTTATGGCCCCTGCAGTGATTTTTATCCCTCCTCTTGGTTTGTGGCATGCGTTCATCATCAAATTATCGAGGACATTAAGATTTTTACTTGTAGAAAGTCCAGTACAGAACAAAAATAAAAACGTACATTTTTTAGCATTTTGTATAAGAGATCATCTGCCCATCAAAAGACCACGCAAGCCTTTGTTGTCTCTTTATATTAATGCAAGGTCTCGAGAGTCGGTGATGACAGCAATAATAAAAAAAATCTGCACGCTCTTTCCACGCTTCAAGTTCTTTGGTCAAAGTTTTGTACCTTATTAAAATTTCATCACAATTTTTCATCTCTATCTGGAGGATGTTTATATAGTTTTGACTCCCAGCTTTGTTTTCCTGTTTCCTGGGAATAATTTTTTTGTCTCCTGGCCTTTGTTAGATACCGCAACTCATCATATAAGATCAGTTACTTCCCATTTATCTAATCTACAAGAGATATACATAACCGCGTCAAGTCTAAAGGTCTTGGGATAAACTACAAAATAAGAAGAAAAATCGCACGACCTTGGGTACTGATTCTTTTGATAGTACAAGATATAAACAAAAAAAAAGGAATTTTATTGCCGGGCTATTTCAACTATTTTCACAAATTCAATAAAATTATAAACGTTCAAATATCTTGTCAGAAAATTCGTTTATATTAACGGTTTTCTCTATAAATGCGGGTAGCTAGTTTAAAAAAAAGAGGTCTACTTCTTTTTCCATTCAGGTATTAGACAGTCCCTGAGGAGTATTTTTACAAATTTAATATCTCGAACGGCACGGAAAGATCGATAAAAGTACATCATTATGTGGTTTATATTTTACGTATACTGAACTTGCGTAAAGAAGTGGGCGATAAAAGTTCCTGCGTGCGTGCCTCAACAAGCCAAATTAACGTAGGTATCAACTGTTCTGTACCCCGCCCATTTTGGTGAGGATTTCGGACATTTCATGCCAGTCAAAAAAGACCTTTCATCGATTTGACACATCTACAATAATGATTTTCTAAAATAATTATTGCGAGCAACTTTTCATTATTTTCTGTTGAAATACAATACACGCTACAGAAAAGTTAGTTGCTTAATCAAAGGGTAGTACCTTTTAGCTCATCTTACCAAAATTACTTCATATTCTCGTGAAAGATCAGGAAGATGACAGTGTTTTTGTTGGTTTTCCAGTTGCTAAAAAGCTTCCCACGTGGAGTACCAAAGCAACCATGTGAATTTACACGTTAGATTTTGTCGTTTCTGATTGGTCTTTATCTAATATTTTTGTCCCTCGTGATTTTTTCTTTTGTCTTTTGACCAATCAGATCGTTTAGCTTGGCGTGTAATTTCCATGACGTTTGGGCGCGTGACACATATCTTGTTTTCGTTTTGATAATATTTACAATCCGCGTACAGCACATGCAGAGAAAAATTTCTCTCGTGAATATTTCGTTTCTGGCTCGCCAAATCTTCACATTGTGAAACGCCATGAATATCGAACAGCTGTTAGAAGCTGCTAAAATCATCGAGCAAAGAGATGAAGGTAAGGTTTGTTCGTTTTCTGCCAAAATTTCGCGGCACATGTCGTTCTCACGCCCCGCTAATGTCCTCTTTCCGCCCCAAACTACAGCGAAGAAACGAAGCCAGGCGTCTGTCAAACGGGATAAAAAGCAAACGAAACGTTCACCCAGCTACAGGTAAGACTAACACCCTCTCCTTTGAAAGTTTTTGATCAAAAACACTCGTCCAACGCTTTCTGCCACGTTGCATGCGTTACGGTGAAAATTTTGCGCTCGAATTATGGCGCCCAGTGTTTTGTTCGGTGTACCTTATGTACACAGCAGATGTGAAGTACCTTAACGGCTGTTTCTTTCTTCTGAAACATCATGAAAACTCTTCAAAAATTCTCTATGTAAGGGAAATGAAATACGAAAGTAGCAAGTGTTGTCAGTTCCATTCTACAAGGCTGAAATTGATTTTGTGAAATAAGCATATTGTTAGTAACTGAAAACGCTTTCTCCAGCAGTTTTGCTCCTAGGGTATTCCCCCAAGACAGCGTGGGATGTATTTGCAGGGTTCGTTTCGGTCTAAAAATTTCATGTTGATAGACTGTCGTACCTGTAAACCTCTATAATGTCCGTAAAGTGTGGGGTCTGGATTTTCGTGCTAGCGAAGTACCACTCGCGGCTTTTCTTTCTGTCTCTAAAGTTTCATGCATGTTTTATAAACACAACGTTGCCCTCGAGAACTTGTATCTATCTGTTGTCCAGCCTGTGGGAATTGATCAGGTTTTTTCTTGTATTATGTATTTTCTTCCCTCGGAGAATCAATTTTCATAACTCTTTTAGGTGGTTCGTTAACTAATGACAATCTTTCACCTCTTTACTTTCTATATATAACCCACTGTCAATGCTACCAGCCGTACAACACATAACCAGTTGGAGAAAAACCGGTAAGTATGCAGGACCAGCTACATCACCTAGAACGAGCATTAAATCACTAAGCAGTTTAATCAGGAACTCAAAAGCTTTCAAGGAGGAAGAAACATATTTTTTTGTCAATGTGTGTTTCGGTAGGAGGTTTCCGCTCGACAAATGTTTCGCTCTTTTGCCACGTGGCCCATCAAAACAACAGATTGCACGTGCAAAATACATACCAAGTTGAATACGTATGCACGCGTGAGAAGTGGTTTCTTTATAAACCATAAGTCTAGTCTTTCCAATGCTAAATCGCTAGGGGAAAAAGAGAATTTTAATTCTTTTCAATGTCACCTTAACTACTGAAATGAATATTTTGATTGAGGTCCAGATGGATTGCACAGATCTTGGGCGCCAAAAATAAAATATCGCGGGTCAGTAATTTTCCTTGTAGTGGATGTTATTGGTGCAGTCCAATTATTTCGCCGGGTACCAGTCGCGAAAATTTTCCGCCTATATCGTCAGGCGAATAAAAGAGTCCATTTAGCGATAATAATCTGTTTCTAATCTTCAAATTGAAAAGGAAATTGTGCTTTAGGCTCTTTATCCTGGAATTAGTCCTTTTTTAAAACTGACCAGCTCGCTGCCCATTCTTTACCCAAAATCACGCCATCCCAATTAATTGAAGAAAAAAAAAATGTATTCTGTCTTGTCTGATGATGGAAGCTCTCGCCTGTGGATGATTTTCCAAGCCATTTGTTTTTAAAAGCCAATAGCAGGTTTCATTAGCCTCAATGTTAAAATATGGTAATGTATTTAGTTTCTTCTCTCCTTATTCCTTCACCAGGCGAGCTCACCTAAGAGATTGTCTAGAACTACTAAAAGAACTTGTTCCTTCGCCACCGGAACATCAAAAAGCTACCACATTAGCATTACTTCAGAGTGCTCAACAATATATTCAGGTAAACATTACACTTCATTTTTTCTTATTTTACATAGTGACTTTGATTCTAAAACTACGATACAATAACTTTTGACGTTGAAAAGTTTTTAGTTATTATTTGGCTGCTGGTGCAATAGAATGGAAGAGGGTTATAGGTCCAAACTAGCTATTTGAGTATGCTACAGATTTGCCAAATGCAAATCTGGTATCTTATGTTTTTACCCTATGAATCAAAAGTGTTCAAGCAGATGTTTTTTGGAAGTTGGAAATAAAAGCAAAGGCTTGCATGAGAAGAGGAGAAAAAAGTTTAATTGTGATGCAATCAAAATAATTTGTTCAGCTAGCCCTTTTTATATTCCGTAATTTTAAAGAGTTTTTTTTTACAGCCTGATCTGTTTACCAGTAGGGACTTAATATAATTTATATGAGTTAAATGTGTACAGTTTTTATGCAAATAAGAAATGTTAATGAGTTTTTTCTATGTTGTGCTTCAAATATATTTCCTTCATGTGAATTTGTCTCAAGCAGAGCTTAGACGAAAATATCATCTTTTAATTCCTGTGTTGCCATTCTTGTACAATAAGACAAAAATTCCAAGAGGTTTTCACTTGCTTGGTTTGTTCCATTAATTTTAATTTTTGTAACACGTCTTTTAAAGGCTTTCTACAAGGCTGTCAGCTTAAAAAATTTTCTGTTTTACAGAGAGGAGATTAAAAAAAATTCCACTGGGCAGCACTAGAAACAAAAGACATAACCTTTGTTCTGTATTTACAATGTAAAAGAAGCCGATTGTTAATTACTTTGAATACTGTAGAGAATAGCTGTTCTATACATTTTCTCCTGGGAAAATAATTCTTGTGTTTTGAAGATAAGTGTGACATTTTTTACTGAAAGAATCAGGGCAATTCTGCTTCTGTTTTGGTGTCCAAAGGAAAATCATCTCTCCCTTTAACAAGGCTCAAACTGGTGAAGACATTTTTCTTTTTGAAGATAAAGTTGAGATGCCCCCCCAAAAAGAAAAGTATCCTGCTGACGTTATTTATAGCTGCACTGCTTGCATCTAGTTGTTGGAGCTGCTAATTTGTGAAAAATTACAGGTGCAAAGTTCTTGGAATTGTCATTATAAATTTGGCTTTCAAAATTAATATTGTTGAGCTCAAAGGCAGGTGAAGTCTTCACAGAAAGAAGAAAGGTTTTTTGTTAGCATACAGCTTAATCCAAACAACCATGTACATGTTTGTAACAGAATATTACCTGAAATGTTCTTGTTTTTGGGATGTGAAAAAAATGTTTGATAAATATGATAGCTTGATGGGTGGTGGCTTACGTATTTCATAACAAAGTGATTTGCATGAAAATATTATTACATTGTATGGACATGGAAATTACTTTGATTAATAATAATGTAGTGTTAGCTTCAAACATCAGCTTTGAACTTGGTAATGTTGACGTCCCAAACATTTGTTACATGTATGGCTGTGCTTTTAGCGTGACCTCAGTATCTGCAGCTAACAGATAGGGTTTTGTAATCTGCTTATAATTATGACTTATGTCAAGTATACAGGCATTATTATCTGACTGGTGGATGGCAGTGTTTTTAGTCCTTCTGAAGCTGGCTTTTATCGAGATTAGTCTCAAAAAAATGTCTTTTATTGTTAAACATGGTTACAAAATGATACACTTCTTTGAAATTGGTCTTATAATGCATCAAGTTATTCTTCATCAGTCATGGTTATGCTATGTTTTTTTGGATCATTTTTGCACACAAATTGCACAAAATTGAAATTTCAAGTTGAGGTAAATATAACAGCCTCTCTATTGCAACATGTGGAGGAATACAGTAGAACCCTGTTAATAGAGACACCAAAGGGATTTTCTGAAGTGCCACGAATGTAATTAAGCAGACTTTCGAAGATAAATGTCAAGAACATTAAAATTCTGGTATGTTTTATTTATAGCAAAATCAAGGTATAGGACTGCTAGGACATACATTTTATATAAAAACAAGTTCAAGTAGTAGAACATAATATTTTATATAAAAACAAGTTCAAGTAGTTTGTTGATGCTTTTTGTAGATATTTAGAAAATAATCTTGCATATTCATGTATACCTTAAGTATCCAGTTTAGCTTCAGTTAATTGAAGTACCTTAAAATGTTTTCCTCATGGTCTGTGAATGCTTATGGGCCATTCCAAAGTAATTTAAGCAGAAAATTAAGATAAAAAAATTAAAATTAAAATGGTAGAATGGTGCTACATATGCCGTATCCTTATGTGGATATTCATACAGCCCCATACATTTACTTATGCATCGTTCAACACATTTGAATGGTTGAAAATGCATTGCAACGTTTCTCAATGATTCGTAAGGCGTTTGCAACGTTTGCCATGAATGCGCGCAACTTTGTCAAATGATGAAGAATGATTTTCCAATGTTGTTCAACGCCTTTTTTTTTGCGTGACAATAGAAGTGACCTTTTTACAATGCGCTGCACATCTACCCATGCTCCCTGGGTAAAAGCGTTGCATGACGACTCTAGAGTGCAAAACATAAATCGGCACATTGTGACTAGACATCAACTAGCTTTGTCGATCAAATGGGCGCCTAGTTCGGATGGACCTAAATAGAAAGTATAGTTGTTTTCAGCACTTGGATACAATGTAAATAAAGCCTTTAAAAGCAGTATTGGAAAGTAACATACTTTGAATGAAAAAAAAAGCTTCAAATTACATTGGATAGTATATTTTCACGCTTCGATACTATCACATTATTAGCTAGTCCCAGTAAAATAAATATCCAGCCAAAAACCGACGAGCCATTCAGTTTTTTCTGGTTTGGTTGAAGAAGATTTTGCTAAGACTCACAAGACCTGAGAGATGATTGACAGGAACATCAGAACCTTGATCGTGCTTGGCAGTTGATCAATTTTGATAATAGAAACATCATTTAAGTATAATTTTTAAAGGACAAAAAGTCCAAGAATATTCTGTTTCTTTGTGTGTTGTGAATTGAGTGTTATTTGCCTAGTTGCTTCTAGAAAATGAATACCGTATCCTTTGTGAAACCTGATCCTGTGAACTACTTTGTTGCCTAGCAGGTGACCGAAAGTCTACTCCAAAATTTCATTGCACAATGTTTTCTCTACAAATATCGTGGTTTCTAGGCTTATTTTGAAGATGAGAAGTGAAGATATGCTTCTTGAGAAATTATGTATTTCACCAAGTTTTCATTCGGTTACATGGCAACATTTTTTCAAACTTGAATACGCGCAACTTGTCTCACAAGCTATCAAAGCAGACCCTGAGGCAGCTGAGCATTTCGTTTGTCATCCACGATTATCGACTAACCATCATTGCAATGAACGATTCCAAAAATTGGTTATCTTTGTATGCTGATTGGCTCTGAATTATAAATCTATTGTTACTTACTTTCTACTGGGGCATGCGCAGTAGTCACAAAAAAAAACCAATTAAAATCGTTTTATCCTTTTTCATTTCAAGGCTGTGTTCTAGCAAAAACTGTAGGCTCTGAACATGCATGTATGAAATCCAGGGTGCCCTTTACAGTCTATAAACATTTTATTGATTTTTTGCATGAAACAGGGTCACTGAAATTCACTTTTCAGCTAAAGGTAAACCTAGGTTGTAAGGTCCGTTAATTGAGAGGGTGTGCTAAGTCAGTAGTCGTATTAATAAATCCTAGCCTGATAGTAAATTTGACTTGTAGCACGATACACATGTACATTAGTGGTTCCTCCAATATATTTTCATATATCTTTGCAAGCTAATGACGGATTTTGTTTAAACTTTCTACCTTACTTCAATAAGGATTGTAGTTAAGTGATATGTTAAAAAAATATCATTTGGAAGAACCTAGGAATAAAAAAATCTTGAAAATGAAAGAAAATAGTTACAAATTCAGCGTGTAACGCGTAACAGCTAATTTGCATGAAATAGTTAAAAAAGTAAAATTTCACCCTTAACACTGTCTCATTAAGAAAATTCAACAGAGCAGAAATATTAAATAGGAAAAAAGGACACCATACGCAAAATCACAGTTCTCTGCATTTATTTTTCAAATAACAAGAAATATAATTCTAGGGACGGTTGCCATTAAGTGCCTGTGTAACGCTCAAGGTCCAACAGCGCTCCATGCCTTACAAATATAAGGCTAGCGACTTCCAAACGCACCTACAAAAGAAGATAATTCGTCTGAGTAAAGTTCATAACATTGTTTACAACCGAGTAAGACAGGTTTTAAAGATTACTCACTGCGATGAAGAAATAAAGAATTTTCGTGTTCGGAAACTAAACTGTTGTGTACTTTTGATGTGTGAAATTAAATATTACTTACCCAAAAGAAAACCTGTATCTCAGCCTCTAGTAAACAACGGTCGCTGATGCATGGCTGCAACACAGTTCAGTTACTGGTCTTCAAATCCTGCTAAGGTTTTTAGTCTTCAGTAGGCTTAAAACGAAGAAATTCTACAAATGGTGAATCGGAAACATATTTCCAGTTGAGCGCCATGCTTGTCTAAGCGTAACGATCGAATTACCACCACACTTGCAGCAGAAAACTTCCCAAATGAAACTTGAATTCAAGCCATTTTCCAGCCAAAATCCACAAGAAACATCGAAGGAGTCCTGTGTAACCTCTCCTTAGTATCTGGGGGGTGTTTTATAACAAATCAGGGGCAAAAAGCGGGAAAACATGAGGTAAAAATAGAGTGGACGTCACGATTGCGTTACACAATACCAAGAAGAAAAGCCTTTCAAATGCTGAAAAGATGAAAATGTGGAGGGAAGAAAAGATCAAGAAAAAGAAAGAGGCAGACAAAAAGCACTACGAGCTTAATAAATTTGTTGTACTTTAGTGATAATAGTCATGCTAAGCAAGCCAAATAGTCAGATGCCACGCCCAAAAAGGATTCTGGGTAATTTCTAAAATAAGCTGTAGACAAGAATTATACCATGAAAATTTTCCAAATATGTTTGTTTGATGTTAATTACTTAATATCTGGCAAGTACTGTTGGTTTGGGAATATTTTACTCATTTTCATAAAAGTGCCCTATGTTACACTGATGTACATGTGTATCGTGCTACAAGTCAATTGGGCTTATGAAGATTGCCAGAAACTATGTATTAGAGGTCACAAAATGTTATAGACAAAGCCTTGTTTTCACTTTTTGCCTCATTAAAATATTCTTATTTTTACCTGATAAAGCTAATAAAATACAATTTCTGAATATCTGAAAGAAAGTAATGATTGTCATGAAAGATATAAATCATCGTGAATAATATTTATAAAGGGTTTAAGTTTTATCCTTTGTCTCACAATTGTCACTTTGGTATTGATCATGACTTTTTGACCACGCACTGCAGATCTTCATCAGGCGATAGTGTCGATTTACTGAGTCATACTATTTGATTTCAGATGTCTTTGTAATTTTGAGCCTGATAAACCAAATACTTTTGAAGAAATTTTCTTTGTAAAACCCCAAACTTTACAAAGAACGTATGTCAAACATTTTTGCCATTCAGCCATTTCGTAGTTTTGATTGCTGCTAGTGCCATTGTTATTGATTGCAAAGAGCTGAAACTTGCAGAAAGTGCTCACATTAACCAGCTCTTTCAACTTTTGAATGAAATTTGTGCATATGGCAATGTCCTCTATGAGTTTATTTATTTATGCTTATGAGCAAAAATGTAAACAATGACATCAGCAAGGATTTTACTATAACAATCGTGTTTTTGATTCAAACGTTATCAAACATCCTGTCTTTGCTCACTATGTGAAAAAGAAATACATGTATATATTGGTATTGTAGTTATTGCAAGGTGATGCAACTGACATTTTAATGTCCAAGTGATAATGATATAAGTAAATAAGATTTGGTTTTGTTAGGTCTTTGATCTTTTTTTCAGTTATAATCAAGTGATCTGATTTGAACATTTGATTATAGTTGTTTCAAATGTTGTACTTTTTGCAAAATATTTCTGAATAAGAACAAGTGAAATGAACTTATTTTAAATAGCTTTCTTACGTGATAAACAAGAACTTATTACATGACCAAAATCCTTATTTTGAGTGGTCAGAAATACTTTGAATTACAACCAGTGAATTGACTTATTAATAAGTAGGACATTTTTGTGCTGTTAGTTACAGTGTAACTAGCAACTGCCATAGCAAAATTTTATATGTACAGTGTAGATCCACCATCCATGCTCAGTGGCAGTGTAAAATAAAACTAACCCCCTAAGAGGCCCTGCCAGGGTAAATTCCGACAAGCGACATGGCCCAAAAAGTAACGACAGTGCGTAAAATGAAATCGCGACAAGAGACAACCTCTCCAGCCAAATTGCGATGGTGACGGCAAAGCCGACAATAAGCGACAAGCATTTATAAACACTGCTATAAACACCAACACGAGACGTTTTAAAATTCAGACAGGTGATATGGGACCCCCCCTGTCAGGGCCTCCCTTAACCTCTAAATCTTTGGACGAAATCCTGTGGTGTTATCATCAAATGAAGCCTCTTTGCAGAACTTTTGCTTAGCCGAGTACCATTTATTTCTAAGATTTCACAAGACAAATTTGATATTTTTGCCAAGTGCTTCTTCAGTCAATTTCCTATGCAGCCATGCATTTTTTGTCTCATCATGCAATGCCCGTCCTCATATTAAATAGGCGCTGAGACCTGTTCACTCACCACATTCCATTCCACACATATAGCTAATTTGACTTAGAACTGCTTTTATTTTCTGGAAGTGATGCACACCAACTTCATGATATGGTGACTCCTGTCTCCAATCTCCTCCTTCAGTCTTGCTGTAAGTGATATTACACATGAGACTGGCAAAGCAATTTCAAAATGTTTGGACTAGCTAGGAAGAACTCAATCCAGTGTCATCTTCACAATCTTATTCCAAACTTCTCAGATAAAACGATAATCAGGAGCTTGCAGATTGTAGCAGCTGTGTTAATTCTAAATGTGCGTAGAGGTTCTGGGAAAGCAATGACTAAGTTTGCCAGATTTCTTGTGTTTGTATCAATACCCTTGAGAATTTGTATCATTCACTGCAGCATAAAGAGCACATTCATTACGGGAAATTCATAATATACATGGCAAAATTAACAAACCCCTCTTTTAATAAGAAACTTTGACAGATGTGGGCAAATAAACATGAAATGAGTGATTTGTTGAAATTAAGAAGCAGTTCTTTTCATTATGCCTTCTTAATGTCTTGTCAAGTTTCTGAAACATGATTGATTTGTCCATTAGACCATAATCACAAAGGGAAAGGAATGTTGTGTGGTTGTCACCAGCTACAGCTTGTGGGGAGTAACATTGCACGAGGACACAAAGAACAGCTGCATATTAGAAGGGGCAGGAGCAACGTGCAGAGAAAGTCGTGTCCAATATCCTGGGGCTAGTGGATTTTGCAATCGGGCTAGTGAATTCTGTTCTTAACTTGCCGGAAGGGCAGGTGGAGGTTGTTGGGGAATTCAAGTTACAGAAGAACTGTAATCAATGCTGCTAATCAAAATTTTTTTTTGGCTAGTTAAAAAGACTCTTGAGATAGTACATACTAGCAACAACTTGCTCAAATGGCAAGCCGTAAAACTGACTTTCTTTGCACCTTGAGGAGTCAACTCGTATGCTGCTGTGACAATAATTATCATGTGCCTTTATGATGACTGCTTTTTGAAAACTGTTGAAACAGCAATTTGATCATTACTTATCTGATAATAGTATTGGGAAAACCAACAAATTGTGTTCTCCACTGAAATATACTCAAGGCTGTGCTCTAGCAGAGCTGAGTGGCCCATGGCGCCTAACTTTTGTTCTTGGGCGACTAGAAAATCTTAGCTTTTTTATAGAAATCATAAGGAGGGCACACTGGATTTCACAAGTTCAGAGCACTGGGCTCCTTTCAATTTTTTTCGAACACAGCCTTGATATTGATCCAGTGGATAGTGTTATCGATGCGTTATCCACCTTTCGGACAGCTGGGACCTGCTGGTTAACTTTTGCTAATCTCATGTGTCTTTAGGCATTACAAATGTCAGAGAGGGAAGCATTGGATACAAAGAGGAAACTGAATGAGGAGCGTTTTGCACTTCAAAGAAGACTTGCCTCCCTTCAAGGCCGCAGTGACAAATTGATGATGGGTATCAAGAGGCCTCGTCATTCAGAAGGCGAGTCCTCAACCAGCAGTGAAGAAATAGATGTAGAGAATGATGAAGAAACAGGATATGCTAGCAGTGAGTCTGATGACCGCTTTAGTATTGGTAGCAGTACTGGTAGTGATGGTGGATTAAGTGTAAACTCTAGAAGAGTTTTTAAATCTTCCTAATTCTTGGCATGCTACTCAGTGAAGTTTTTCATTGTTTCACTGTGCCATACTTGTTGCAACTGGTATTGAATCCATATTAGTTAATTTTTAAGTTGGTTTTAAAAAAAAATTCTCATTAAGGGGTGGGTTTGGGGGGTCAGTCTTATTAGATTTTATTAAAAAGTACAAATTGTCAGCTGCGGGGGAATGTCACAATTTCCTGCTTCTCTGGCAAGATACAGTACACCACTGTGGCAAAATTTTTAGAACTACATGGATTAAAAGGCACTAGTCCTAATCATCTTCATTAAACCTTCTGAAAAGCTTCAATCTGTTCTCACAGAATCTTTAGAATGATTCTTCGTGTGTGTACAAAATTAACATATATCCCTCTGAGATAAAAAAATTGTCTTCACTATTTGTATCAAAAAGTTACTCTATGACTTGAATACTTGCTTAAGGCTGTTTTTAAATGTCCTTTTACAGGGCCGTACTTTTATTAATGTATCAGCTTAAGCAATATATCTTGCATCAACTAACAACCATCTCATCTTTGAAGACGGGATGTCAAACGTGTGAAAAATAATAATATATCCTGTAAGAGTTGTAAATAAGGGAATTGTGTACAACAGAACTCAGCCATCCAAAATATATTGAAGATCTAATTGATTTGAAAAATCAACTATTCTTGGTTTGCAACCATGTAAAAAGGCGGCCATGTTGAGGGTCAAAACAATAGACTTTTTCTCAAAGAATTTACAGTGATGAGAAAAGAGTTTAGTTCCCAGAGGAGAAAAATACTTTTGTTCTTGACTGCCAACATGGCCATTGTGACTTGTGCAAATCAGCAATACAGAATGACTTAACCACACAGATTCTTTTGCATGTCAGTTGTCAGTCTTTTTTGTCCAAGGCAGTGCTCTATGAAGAAAAAATGAAGAAGGAGCATGCTCTGAGCTCTAAACTTTGAAATACGTAGTTCTAAGTCCCACTTGGGGGGTCTCAACAAAGGTTTATACGGAGAAGCTCCATTTCGAGGTCCAACCCCTTACCATTTTGTATTCCATTTTTGACGGAAAAGTTACCTGTTTTATGTACTTTCTATTGACAAATAGTACCCTTTTACAAACCATATATGCACTTTAATTCACAAAAACAGAATGTTTTCTCAATTTTTTTCACAACCATAAAATGCATAGTTTTGCCCTTTTAGACTGAAATGGCAGATTTTGCTGCCTTTCTATATACTTCAACTAGTGAAATTTCTGCCCTTTCATACACCTGGCCCCTGAAAAAGATACTACTTTTCGATGGAGCCTCTCCGTATAGGTTAGAGATCCAGCAAGAGGGAACCAGTCAGTTATATCCACGTGTTGTGTGGACCTCTGCATTCAAACAGTTTTTTCATTATAATGATTCCCCTCGCCCCCACTCTGCGGCCCAGCTTATGAGTTCCAAGATTTTCTAGTTGCCCAGGGACAAAAACTAGTTGGCAGTGGCCACCCGTCAATGCTAGAGCACAGCCTTGTGGGGGAATTGGGCAATAAGCAGGTATTGTAAGATTTTGTCAACTGTCTTAAGCCAGAGCCCTCTGGGACTGGTGCTAAGTGCCCATTTTAGGGGAATAACTGCTTGATAGAAAGTCAAAGAAAGAAATGACACTCGCAGATGAATGGCAGGCAGACCAACTCTAGCCGTCCATTTTAGGGAGGTACCTGTTGAGAGAAAATTGACAGTATTAAGTAGGGGTGTTCTAAAAGTTGGTGTTGTAGTAAGCTGAAGACTTGTGATTGAAAAACGTATCAAAACCAAGATTCTCTGAAAACAGCAGGACTGGAAATGACATAGGTGGCACAATATCTATGACAAACAGTGTGCAAAGAAAGTAGTCTCTTGTAGCCCAGGCCTGGTGGTTTTCCTATTAGGCTAGTGAATTCTGTTCTAAATTTGTCAATGGGCGATTGACGCTTTTCGGGGAATTTAAATTACAGAGGAAATGTACTCAACCGTGTTCATCCAAAAAAATTTTTCGGGCTAGTTGATATGACTTTTTGCCTAGTATGTTTTAGCGACAGCCTGCACGAATGGCAAGCTGTCAACTGACTTTCTTTGCACCCTGAGTGACAAAGATAACTTTTCTGGTCAACTAATCAATCAGGTTGTAACAATTGCGGTTATTAAGGAATGTTTTTATTCTGATTATCATTCCTAAAATTAATTTTTAACTAGCTAGGTATTTTCATTGAAAAACTTACAAAGGCTGGTAACTATGACAAAATATTCTTATTTTCAGTTTGTTATCATGTTTGTAACAAGAGTCGATTTGTTACGCAAAGTTTTCAGACTGTTTGGCTATGTTTATTCACACAATAGTGGATAGTATGAACACCTGTCTGATATGTGATTCTCCATTTGAGAAATTGGTGCAGTGCAGCTTTTACTCTGACACAGAAATTGCACCACCACAAATGTTCTTATTTGTGAACAGAAGTCCTATCCAGTATGATTTTCGTGGCGACATAAAAGCTATGCGGTATTGTGTGAATATAGCCTTAATTCTTAACAAATTTTGCCAGGAGACTACCAGTGTGGTCTTTACCAGTAAAATAATATTATTGTCCACCTTTTCAGTCATGGAGGTCACTGCATAAGGATTATGCTTAAAATCCCTTTGTGGGTTTAGATTTTCTCTTTTTTTCTGTAGATAATAATTGTAAATTTTCCTTACCAGTGTAAATGTCAGGTTCATCACCAAAATATTCTATAAATAATTATTAAATATTTATGATATGGGCTCTTTCAGGGTACCTAATTAATATCTCCTATCCAATCACTTTTTCATCTGTGTATAATCTTGGATGGTAGTGTTTGTATTTTTAATGTGATCTGTAAATAATGTGTATTTTTGAGCAAAAAAAAAGTGTACCTAAAAGATGACATTTTTATAAATTATTATTGCCAGAGTTTCAAGGAATAGCAAATAAACTCGCGTTTGAGCAACTTCGAAAAATATTGACTTGTTTCAGTATTGTTGTGTCTTGTGGATTTCAATATTTTTACTTAAGAGTAACTTGAAAATGTAGAGGGATCGATAGTTTTCATGGTTAGGACGATTTTACCACCAAGCCTCGTTTCCAAATTGTAAATTGGCGACGATTTACGTAAATGAATTTCCTAGGCAACAGAGTTGAATCCCATGCGAAAAGGGTGCAAGTCGACAAACAAAGTTTAGTGGTGAAATTTGCTAATCAGACGTCAACGTGCAATTGTGTTTGAAGTGTAGCTGTTCAGTGCGGGGTTCGGACAGTCTTAAAAAAGTCCTTGAATTTGTACCCTGCAGCAGAGGCCCTTTGATCTTCCTAGATAAGTCGACTTCTCTAGGAAGATCGAAGGGCCTCTGCTTGCAGGGTATGAATTTTAGGGCGAGTCCTTGAAATCCATTTCTCCATATTTCTGAGCAAGTCCTTGAAAAGTCCTCGAATTTTCTTCAACTTAGAATACAGTGGTCTGGAAAGTGTTTTTTTTATGCTTTTTGGTTGTCCAAGACAAGATTTCCAAACACTCATCCTCTCTATTTTCTTTATGAATTATTAACGAGTTTGAGAAAAAAGAATGAGACGCAATGGATAACACCCGAGACGTAGAGGAAAATCGATGAGAGCTAAGGAAAACCAAAGACCACCTGCTTAGTGAAAAGTCCCCCAGACTGACTCAGCGTGAAAGAAAAGTACACTCAAAATCCGTTAATATTTAGAAAAACTTTAAGGAAAGGCTTTTCCCAGGGACAAAGAAAACTGACCGTAATAACGTAAGATGCATTGAAGACACAAATGTTACATTTTCCAGGTATAATTATAATTTTATTACTTACAATTGCTCTTTACTAGTTTTAACTCAAATGTAGTAGGAACAGTTTACAAAATTACAGCAAGAAACCTGTTTGAGAGAGCTATACTACAATGACAACTTGACTTCAAAAAACGCCATTCCTTGCCTACTTGCACGGAAAAAAAAATTGTAATTCACCAGATACAAATCTGCTCGGATTTTAAAATTGTGACTGCACAATTTTTATCCGAATTAACCAGCTTTTAGGGGCTCAAAAATTTTACCATGTTTTAGGCGTTTGGAATCAACAGTAAAAAAGAAAGAGAAATGTCCGTTGTGTAGTTACGAAATGCTCTGACTAAAACAACAAGTTGAATGAGAAATCAAAAAGGCACATTTAATACTGCAATAACTGCAAGGGCTCAACTATAAAAAAATACTTTGGAATCTACGGATCGAAGAATGTGAACGCAGCAAATGTTAAATCCGACTTAAGGTACGGTAAAACGCGCAACAAAACACATGCAACTTGTCTTGCAACACTGCTCCAAAACCAGTGGAATAGCGATGTTGCGCTTTTTACCACCAACATCAATTAGTCGTCTTCCAACAAACCAGACTGTGAACAGGTTTGAACGTGGGTGGTAAAACGCGCAACATCGCTTTTCAACCGTTTTGTACCCATGTTGCAAGACAAGTTGCACGTTTTTGTTGACCCTTTCACCGAAGCTTTAAAGTTTCTCAGTCCTACTGAAACACAAACAATTAGTTTTGGACGTCGCTGCACGACTAAAACGTGACATTTTTAAAGTTCACGTTGTATGGAGGTTGTAAGTTTTCCAGCTTGTTTTTTTTCTGACATTGGATATAATCCTTAAGAATTCAACTACAGAAAAATTCGCCAACATTTGACAAATTGAACTGCTAGGTGGAACACCGTATTTATTCGATTAACCGCCCTGGGCGCTTATTAAATTTTTGGACCTTGAGAGTGGCCGCTTATTCGAGGTAGGCGCTTATTCGAGGTTAGGCACTTATTAAATTTTCACTATTTTCAGCAAGTGTAGTATTTTTATCTTGCGACAAATCAAAAAAAGGTAATAACAAAACGCGAAGATGTAACAAAGCAAGTTTCTGTAAAATACCCTGAAAAAAACTCCATCTTCGGGGAAGTCTCTTATTAGTACTAATTC